CCCCCCTCCCCCCGTTTTTATTAAATACCGGTGCCTGTGAGGTCTCGTGTCACGGGGGCCTTTGTTTTAAAGCTGCCGTGGAGGCTTTGATTAAGCTGTGTAGAGCTCGCTGGGGTCGCAGGTGCCTCTTTCCTCGTAGATAAGGGGAGGCTTGGCATTGCTGGTGTCTCGAAGGCAGGCTGACTGGCAAGACATAAACTTCTTCAAGGCCGCCCCGTGTCATCGTGAGATTGTGGAAACACAAAAAGAGTTCCAAAGAGCTAGTCGGTGAAGTTTAAAGATTATATTCCAGTCCGAAGTTGCTTAACGTTGCTGTGGTAATTTTGGTGTTACTTTTTGATGATGTTGGAGCACATATGCCCATTTTCACAGATTTGTTTGGACACACGTTGTACGAATAATAAACTTGTGTGTCGTCAGTTTTGCAGTTCCCTCTCTTTAATTCCTTTCACAGAGCAGTTGGGAGGACATGTGTCTTTCTAATGGTGTAAAACAACAACAAAAAATTTTGCTATCTTTATCTGTTGTAAGACATGATCTCTGGACATTGTTTCCTGGTTTATTTCCAGTTTGACAGTACACACTTTATTATGGCTCTCTACTGCTAAAGTTTTGGTGTCCTTAGTTCTTGAGGTTTCATAGCCTACAAGCTAGTTATAGGGAAACGGTGAATAAGAAAACATTTTTAAAAAAGAATTTTTATAAATAGGTTTTTTTGGGGGGCATGTTTTTATGTAATTAATGGTAGCTGTTTAGTATGAAATCAGGTTAGTTAGTTTCCCTTTCTCACCTGGTGCTTGAAAAGAAAAAAATATTCTGTCATGAAGCACTTCTTCTGATTTGTGCATAATGTGCAGTGTCTCTGATACGAATTTAAAGGTGCAGTATCATGGTTATGAAAGCTTCAGCCGAAGATGATGATTCAGGATGGGAACTCGGGATGCCTGACAAGATGGAAAAGAGTAATACAAGCTGGATAGATATAACCCAGGATTTTGAAGAAGCTTGTAGAGGTGAGTTGTGCTGCTTGTGTTCTGAGAAAACTTGGAATCCTTGGAAGGCTAAGCAAAGTTCTTTGAGGTGTTTTAAACAACAGTTTGACCCAGGTTCAAGCTCCAGGTGAGTGGACTACATAGATTCTGTGTCTCCCTGTGTTTAACGTACCTGTGACGTTGGAAATATCAGAAGAACCTCACCTTGCTTCCTCTTCCAGCTTACATAAATGTCTTTTTAAGTCATGTTTTTTCATCTCGTGCATTTTTACACCTGCTTTTTTTCTTTGCAAAGATTTCCTGTCTCTTCTGCCAAATGGAAACCTCATTCATCCATGCAGAATCAACACTCTGTTTTTTCCTGTACATTTTTTGATCTATAGGGTCCTAAGTTTTATTCATTTAATTGCATCATTTTTTATCTTTGCAACAAGGCCGAGCTTCTGAGGAGATGCAACTTTATTTTTTCAACTGATTTTATGATGGCATTAGGGAATAATAAATACAAAACTGCAACTTACAGCACACAATATTATGTAATGATAAAGACAATTTCCTTATGCTGTCAAAGAATTCCTGTATGTTAGTGGTATACTGTTTGTGTACACATCAAGTACATCTAAAGACTTTGTTAAAAGTAGTGAGGAAAAGCAAGCCTTTCAGTAAACTCCTCTGGAGAAAATTAGACATCTGCATGAAGGAGCACAGAAAACTCCTGTCCTGTGTTCAAGGCTATTCAGATGCTATTATTTGGTATTTCTGAAACCCCCTTTAATGGTTGGTATAACAGAGAGGGATTAGGAAAGACTGTGAACAACTGGGGCTTTTTAGCCTCTCAGTCTTGAAAGTGCTTTGTAAGTAAAAGCACTTGTAGGTGGAGTAGAAATATCTGGTCTGCTTCCCACACCTTGTTCTCTTTTAGCACAAGACAGGTCAGCAACAAGACTACCCTGGAAATATTGCACTAAGAAGGGTGATTCTGATTATTTATCCTGTTCTGTTCCTTTTTAGAACTGAAGTTAGGAGAACTACTTCATGACAAGCTGTAAGTATGCCTATGGGATAGTTCTGGGTTTTAGATACTATTAGTGCAAATATGTTAATGTTTACTAATAAGCAAGTCATGCGCTATCAACTAAGCTTTTTTTAAACGTTTGCTTTAAATAGTTGAAGTATTCAGCACGTCATTGATCCTCAAAACTAAGGGTATGATGCACCTGTATGAATATTGAACATTTCTCATGGTGCCAGTATAACATTACCTTTTCAGTTAATCAATGTGGTCTAGAAGTTTACAGCACATCTTCTGGTCAGTGGTGTTGACAATACTGGATCTACCAAACTACTTTATGTGGACATGCTTTCATAAAAAAAATGCCAGAAAGACTTTAAGCTTTTACATTTGGTTGCCTCAAATGCCACTAACAAGTTTAGGATAAACAATCCATGTGCTTTAATGTAATTTTTAAATGACATGCTGTCATGGTTTAACCCCAGCTGGCAGCCAGGACCATGCAGCCACTCACTCACTTCGCCCAGTTGCTATGGGGGAGAGCATCGGAGGCAGGATATTAGGAATGAATTCCCTTCCAGGGAGGCCCCATCCCCAGAAGTGTTCAAGGCCAGGTTGGATGGGGCTTTGATCGACCTGGTCTAGTGGGAGGTGTCCCTGCCTGTGGCAAGGGGGCTGGAACTTGATGGTCTTCAAGGTCACTTCCAACCTAAACCATTCTATGATTCTGAAAGTGAGAAAAAAAACTTGTGGGTTGAGGTAAAGATAGTTTAATAGGTAGAGCAAAAGCCGTGCACGCAAGCAAAGCAAAACAGGGAATTAATTCACTGCTTCCCATCGGCAGGCAGGTGTTCAGCCATCTCCAGGAAAGCAGGGCTCCATCATGTGCAGTGGTTACTTGGGAAGGCAAATGCCAAATGTTCCTGCTTACTAATTCTTCCCCCAGCTTTATATACTGAGCATGATGTCACGTAGCATGGGATATCCCCTTGGTCAGTTGGGGTCAGCTGTCCTCGTTGAGTCCCCTCCCAACATCTTATGCCCTCCCAGCCTGCTTGCTGGCATGGCCGTGTGAGGAGCAGAAAAGGCCTTGACTGCTCAGCAACAGCCAACACTAGTGTGCTATCAGAGGTATTTCTTATCCCAAAACATAGCACGATAGCAGCTGCCAGCAAGAAAGTCAACCCCATCCCAACCAGAACCATGACATGTACTAAAACATAAACTGAGAGCTCTACAGGTTAAGCAAAAATATGTTTCAAAAAATGCATCTGCTAATATCTTGCTGAATTCATTAAAGAATGACATGAGATAAATTGTTTAACCGTATGAGGCTGTTCACTTGCATAAAGAAAAAGATGCTTATTCAAGACTAATACCTCAGAAGGCAGAAGCACACTATTAAAAGCAAACTTTGCTGTGCAAGGATGTTACCAAGTCGTTATTCAGTAGAACCAAAGCATGGTCTTGAGGTATAATCTTATACATAAGAGCATTTCAGAGCAAATATGCTTTTCAGAATTAGAATGTGCCACATGCAATAACCTTTTTTCATATAATAAGGGCTCGTGCGGCATGTCTGATGAATATTGTGTGTACCAAAGGTGAGGCACCATATCCTTTCTTCTGTAGGCCAGTCTTCATTTGTTGTGGTTCTCCTGCAAGCTTTTATGCCCTGACTACAAGTGATTGATTGTCATGTGCTAGGGGTTTTTTTTGTATCGGTTTTCTTAATATGTCCATTTTAAACTAAGTTAGTATATTCAATGTATATCGTTGTCAGTCTGTGTCATGTATTGTCATTAGTTTGTGGGGGACATATCTTGTGTTTTTGGACGTAGCATAATAAAGAACAGCTTGTTCAGTTCATATCAGTTTATTATGTTTTGTGATCTTTAAAAAGATGCTATGTCATTATGAGGTGTATAGAAACAAGCGTATGTAGATTGAGTAATGGGATGTTTGGCTCAGGAGTGTTCTTCATATTTAAGAAAAGGCTAAGTTTTCTTTTCAGTATCTATTTTCTTTCTTACTTGTTGAGAGATCCTCAAATTCCTGAAAACAATGATCTCTGAAGATCAGTAGTAGTGTTCAGGTACCTTTCCTTATCATCTGTAGCGAGTGTACTGTTTGTCGTTGTATGTTCTTTTGCATTGGTTTGTGAAGACCATTTTATATAAAATAATTACATTCAGAACACTTTTTTTCTTGGTGTTCTTAGTTTTGGTCTTTTTGAAGCCATGTCTGCCATTGAAATGATGGATCCCAAGATGGATGCTGGTATGATTGGAAACCAAGTTAATAGAAAGGTTCTTAACTTTGAGCAAGCTATTAAGGTTTGTGTGACTTTTGTTTTTACCTACACTGTCTGTAAAAGTATGATGTAGTTTTATCAAATTGCAGTTAAGCATAATTCAACATAATTAGTGTTTTCAGTCTTTACTTAGAATTTATTTTTTTCTTTTTTATTTTGGATATTTAAGTAAGAAATAGCTTGTGATGTTTAACGTTTTTATTACCTACATTATCACAATGATGCTAACTAATTAGCTGGCCACTTTAACAACATACAACAATGATTAACTTTTGATGCATGGTCAAGATAAATCGGTGGAGGTAGGTTGAAAGACGTTTTGTTATTTTGGAAAAAATAATGCATTCACAGAGGAAAAGATTATTTTTTTTTTTATCATGGACCTGGGTGTGAATGGACTAAGAGAATTCTGTGTAAAATATTGGCCATCTAAGTAATGTAGAATAAAATGAAAGTAGTAGGGTTGCTGCCTTCTTGGTCCTGACCTTGAAGGCAGTAAAACTCTACAAGTATCTGCAGTGTAAAAAGTGTCTTCAAAGAATGGATCCTGCATTTTTTTCCTTGTTCAGTCTTTATTATGACTATACGTGTTGTTTGGATGACTATACATATTGTTTTGTGATTTAAGTGCTGACAGTTAACTGGTTTTAAACTTCTATTGGCTACTCATAAATCAGAAATTTTATTTTATACTTTGACTAGCTTTGTGTTTGATCAGTGTTCAACACAATGATGGGAAAGCAAAGTTTTTCAGAATTTGAGGCACATTATGAAGCTGATCAATAAAGCTAGTGGTACACAAATATTCTGGAGTCTTAACCAAATTGTAATTTCCTTTTTGGCTGTACAAGTAAGTTGTATTTTGTCTATAGGCTTCCACAGTCTTTAGGGTTTTTTCTTTGTTTGTTTTCTAAGGATGGCACCATTAAAATAAAGGATCTCACTTCACCTGAGCTGGTAGGAATAATGGATACATGTTTCTGTTGTTTGGTAAGCACTTCTCTGTTTTTAACATTAGATGTTTTTGCTTTCAAAATATAATCCTTTAATACCGTTTTAAAAAGAAAAAAAAAACAGTAGAACTCATGAAAAAAGATTCACCAAGCAGAAAATACATACTTAGTATTTTAATTTCTATGCAGATACTTGCATTGTCTATTATGAGAGGCATATTTTTAATTTCTGGGTATTTTTATTGTAAGAAGTCATTATGGAAGAGAACTGGTAGCATTTTGAATAATGTAACAAGGTTTTATAATTTGTGTTTTTTGAATGTATGGTATGCCTGCTGTATATTGGTGTTTGTGTTGGAAGGTGAGTGTTCTGTAATGTACAGCACTTTGCTCATTTCTCTGCAGCCAATACTGAGTGAGCTTACAGGGGTATTTTGAAAAAAGAAAAGAAAATACCTAAATCCATTTAGAAAGGAAATAAGCGAATTATCAGTTCTTTAATTGTGACTTTTTTTCAATGTATATTTCTTAATTTCCTCAGTAAATGATACAAATGAATTTCAGTTACTCTTTAAAATTGCGTCAACAAAATTTATTAGTTTTTTAAAACAACATTTCAAATTAATTTAGTCCAAAAAGATATGTAAGGGTCACTGTATATTTCTTATGGTATAACGTAATTTGTCTTCTTCCTCCATCTCTTATTTGAAAAGGGACAGTGGTCATACTAAAAATCTGATCCTACTGTGTTTTATGCTATTTTAAGATAGAAATAATTGTTTAAATTATTGAAGCTTTCCCTTTAGCTTAAAGCAGCATGAAAGTAGTAGAGAGAGGGGATCGTGAAAAGAAGCTATAAATTGTAGAAGAGAACATGCAGAATATTGCTGAGTTGTTTCATAGCCACTAGCATTTTTCATTCAGTATTTATTCTGATGTTCTTTTAACTTAATGTCATGTCTAAGTCACAGAAATTAGACCTGAACCTTGTGGAAGAGGTTTATCCAACACCAGAATTTGATAGTGTCATAGGGTTTAGTAACTTACTGCCTGCCACAGCCAGCAGATGGGCAAAGGTTAAAGGTTGAGAGACCTCTTGCCCTTTTTTGCTAGATGGAAGGTTGCCGTGATAGGGAGGGACTTCCTTAATGATCACTGAAGCACAGTAAGATGGAAAAAGAACAGAGATACAAAAGCGGGGATTTGGCTGTCATGAGTAAAATGGTTAATTTTCTTTTCCCTAGATAACATGGTTAGAGGGACATTCCTTGGCACAGACAGTATTCACTTGCCTGTATATTCACAATCCAGACTTCATAGAAGATCCTGCTATGAAGGCTTTTGCTCTAGGGATCCTAAAAATCTGTGATATTGCCAGAGAAAAGGTTAACAAAGCGGCTGTTTTTGAGGAGGTAAGTTTTTCAGTATCTCCTGTCGTTAAATATGTAACATTATATGTAGGCTGCATAACGCAAATGAAACGGTATATTAGAGGAATTTATTATTGTTTCATCTGAGGCTACTGTACGAGCAGCAGTTCACCCTCCTGAAAGTATTAGACTTGATTCCTTTAAAATGCAGTTTTTTCCAGTGAAGGTGTTGCATGTTCTTCTCTATGTTTTGCTTGAATATTGGAGTCACATAAATATTTTATTCAAGAAGCAATGCAAGTCTTCTGGCTAACCATTTGAAATCAGTTTTACCTACGGTTTTCTTCCTGTTTAATTTTTTATTTTTCTCCTTGAGTAACCATGATTGTCTTTTGTCTGAAATGTCCATCTAGCAATGGAATCAGAGTCTGGTTTTCTGTGCTCAGAGTGGTTTTTGTTTCATCTGAGCTTGGACAAGTCACTTCTTACTGACTACATCTAAAATTGGTTAAATAGTATTTTGCATCCGTAGTTCTTGTAACATGTTGATAGGGTGGCACTTGATGAAAATGTGAAGAACATACTGGTATTAAGGATTTATGCAGAAAATAATTACTCCAAGTTGGATTTGGGCAGGAAAGTCACCCAAATCACAGGTGTATTCAGTTGCTCAGAGTAAAACCAGACTTTTATACTTGCTGTAGTTAAACAAAAAAACCCCCCCCCCCAAAAAAAAAAGCAACCAACAAAAAAACTATTCAAAATACAACAAGAAAAAAAAAACAAGAAAAAACCCCAAACAAACAAAAAGAAAACCCAAACCCCAACTTGAAAATGTAACAACTACTGTTTATGTTGCACTACATATTGCTGCTTTGATTTTTATTTTTTAGGAAGATTTTCAGTCAATGACCTACGGATTTAAAATGGCCAACAGTGTGACAGATCTTAGAGTTACAGGTACAGTTTGTGCTTTCTGTGTATCTGTCCATCAGTCTCTCTTTTGAGCATATTAGTTACTGTCAGTCAAACCTAGTGAATTGGTAGGAATCTCTCATGGTTTTTTTAATGGTCTTGGTAGCTTGGGAAAAAGAGATCAAATTATATTTCCTTGAAGAAAAGGCTCAGCTGTTTATTTGTTAAATGCCTGAGAAACAGAAGTGCTTTTAGATATACCAACTAGGTGGCTGGGTGTGAGATAGAAATAAACCATTGGAAAGTGCACTGCTTGAAGTCTGCTTCTCTGCCTCACAATTTGCTGTGATCTAAACAGATTGCTTTTGAGGAAAAAGCAGTCTCGTGGTTCTAAAGCTATAAATCCGTATCTTATTTGGTATGTACACATGTATGTGAGCCTTTTGATGCACTATCTTTGATACGTACTTGGAGCTTTCCATTCATTATTTTTAGAAAATTTGTGAATACTTTAGCTTTGGATCAGTCAGCCTATACTTTGATTTATCTATTGTTGCAAGACATCCCCACCATCCCTCACAAGAATGTTTTTTGTCTAGTCTGTGGCTAATGGATATGTAGAGCACTTCAAAACTTGATTTCCCCTCAAAAGTTTTTTCCTCTGAATGGTGTAATTGTACCTAGGAATGCTTCTCAGCTCTTAATTGTACTGTGACTTTTCCAGGTATGCTAAAAGATGTAGAAGATGACATGCAAAGACGAGTGAAGGTATTTTTCACGTTTGCCTTGTCAATTGTACTTAAAGCGTACTTAACGTAGGTTTGAGAGTTGGATTAAGAAGAATGCCACAGTTTTCTGTCATTAAATGGTGGGGTTTTTTTGAGGAACTGCCATAATGGTTTGTGTAACATGCTGACAGTTTCCTTCTAGCTAAAGATGCTGAAGTCTTCAGACTTTTCTAAACTCTTTAATAGTTGCTTCATTAGTAACAGGTGGAATAATGATGTAGAAGATAACACTGGGCTGAGGCACAGAATGTATGTGTTTAACTTCCAGCTTTTATGCAGATATACTGTGTGATGTTAAAGAAGTCGCTTCATCTTACTTTACCTCAGTTTACAATATAAAATCTTCATACAATTTCCTTGCCTGGTTACAGAGTGGACTGAGATAGGTCTCATTACTATAGGGGAGTCTTGGATCATTCAGGTACCTAGATTATATGTTGAGAGGTTTTGAACTTGAGAACTGATTTTTGGTGTTACTTAATGGGTGGATGTTCTTGAGAGGGTAAAGGGATTTTATCACTAGCTTTTGTTCGCAAGTTTTAATAAATTATTTGAAATTTCTTTACATTCTAGAGCACTCGAAGTCGACAAGGAGAAGAGAGAGATCCAGAAGTTGAACTTGAAGTAATGAATTGTTTACTTTTTTATTCTGGATTTCATGGATTAGTACATCATTACTTTAATTGGTAGTTAACAGTTTGTGAGAAATGTGTGTCACCAGTGTTGCTACTACTGTCATATCTGAACTGCTTTAAACGTGGCCCTGATCAAATCTCAGGCTAGCAGGTAGATTTTTATGCTTTGAAGGGCTAGAGTTCTGGATCGATCCCAACGGCAGAATAGTGATGCTGCTGCGTTTCTGCCATTTGTGCACCTACCTCTCAAGAAGAAGCCATTAGCAGAGTAGGTGGTCTTTTCTGTCCTGTGCCTTCTTCCCTCAGTTCCTTCCCAGCAGCTTTTACTGCTGCTGGGAGCCTCACTGTCAAGGGAAAAAGTAGGAAGGGAAGGTGAAAGCAGTGTAGCTCCTTCCAGAAAAAGTGGTAATTGATAAAGTTGATGTGGTTGATTTAGAAGGGCGTGGGTTTCCTTTCCCAGTAATGTTGTTTTCTACAGAAATTACTTTTAACATAAAACTTCAGGAAAAAAATAGATAAAATGCTTTTAATAATTTGAGGAGGTTGTTCACTTGATCTGAGATTTGAATGGCATTTGCATAGCAGATAGCTATACAGGCAGTAGTTGTGCTTTACCCAAAGCATCTTAGTATTTTTTTGTTAGTGCTTTTCTGACAGCACTAGAGATTTCTTCTATAAATTCTGTAACTTTTCTTCAGAATCATACTAGATACCATATTTTTAAGACTAGAGAGCATACTTCAATAAAACATTAAAAAAAACTTTTATAAAGTTTCAGGGTTTAATGCCTATTGCTTAGTAATTTGTGCTATGTTTTCATTACAGCATCAACAGTGTTTAGCTGTGTTCAGCAGAGTCAAGTTTACCCGGGTACTACTGACTGTTTTAATAGCATTTACCAAAAAAGAGGTACGTTCATTTGGTGTTTCTGTGTCCGCATTGTGATCCTGTGAAATACTAATTTTTCATTCTCTAAGGTCAGGCAATTATTCTGTAGATGTGAAGTGATGATGTTGCTACAGGTGGAGCATTGGATGGGGCCTTACAGTGGCAACCATTCAGTTTTTGTTCATTTTTAAAGAAAGCACAGGGAAGGCTAGTAGCTGACATTATTTTGGCCTTGCAGAGAGACAAGAGCACTTAAAGAATAATATTTATGGGGTTTGGATTACTGTTTTCACACACATGAGCAAAAACTTTCTTGCATTCAGTCTCCTTCTGTGGAGGTACCTGATATTGGTCAGTGTTTTGTCCATCTCTAGAGAGTTGTCACCTTTTCCTTCCATGTGATACTGGATTTGTATCTAGAGTTCTTTTGTCTGAGAAGAGGAATATAACCACTTTCCATGCAATTTGCTTGCTTTTTTGCATAAAAGATTTCCTAACTGTTGAGGGGGGAAGGAACTGCATGTTTTAGGGCAAGGGTGTAGAATCACGTGTCACATAAGACAAAGCTTTTTTTGAATAGCTTTTTCTTTATATAAGGACAAATATCTGCTTATTGCTTATCGTTATTGCAATTTTTATAAAGAAATAAATAAGTTTCTTGCTTAAGTGGCATGGAGTCTTTCCCACATGTTTTGCTGTTGGATCAGCTGCATACTATACAGTTTACAAGACCTTGATTACATTAAAAGTCAGGTGCAAGTATCATTAATAGACATCAGTGTTGGGGAAAAAGTGATTGAGTGATTTAGAATAATTGCATTCTGAGTATAACCATTAGTTATATCAGAAATCAAACTGTGACATAGAAGTGATATCTGCTGATGTACAACCAAATTCTGTCTGTGTTAACTGCTATGAGTTAATGATCTGTGCAACATCGCATTAACTTAGTGTTGCTCAAGTCTGATTATACTTAAAGTATAAGCTATTTACATCATGGACTGCTTTGATTTGAGTTAGATCTGCTTAGTAGCATATTGCTTTAGTAGATTTGTGGATGCTATAATATGCAAACATACATTACACAGAACTACAGATCTTGTTCAGCTTCTATTAGACCTTCAGGGGGTTTTAAACATTTTTTCTAGAAGAAGTCAAGTTTCAGTTTGACTTGAGATTTCAAATATTTGATGTTCCATCAGGGACTGTTAGTCCAGTATTTTTAAAACAAGATTTTAGCTTTTACAGAGAGCTATTTTAAATGGTACCCAGATTGCTAACAGATTTGGATTCATAGAACATCAGAAAATTCACCGTGTCAGCAGATCATGAATCAAGATTTCTAATGGACATCTGGTATCTTCTAATGTTATACAGTAATTTCATTTCAGTTGGTAGGTTGTGTTTTGTATTCTCAAGAATTCTGCATTTCCTAATGATATATTTTTTTTTCCTCTTTGCATTTTGGAGTTCTGCCTCATTTGGCAGAAATTTTGTGGTTTTTTTTGCCACCCCCCTTCCCCTCCAAAATCAAAGTAGAGGACTTACATGTAGTGTATACTAGACTTTCAGTTGTAATTATCGTTAAGGCTTATACAGCAAAAAATACAGTATTAAATGAATCTATAGTTATGTAAAACATAAAGAACACTTAATTGCACAAAAATCAGTTGGGTTTTTCTTTTTTGGAACTAGTTGTGTACAAACATTATAATCCTAATATCATTCTGTTTTCTGATACTAGCATTAATTCTACAGGCAAAATATGTTGGTTCATAATGTGAATAACTGTTACCTGCCTTTCAGACGAGTGCTGTCGCAGAAGCTCAGAAACTAATGACCCAGGCAGCTGACTTGCTTTCTGCCATCCACAATTCATTACATCATGGTATCCAGGCACAGAATGATACCACTAAAGGAGGTATGTATCAAATTTTACCATTTTTTTTCCTTTCTTAAATATGCTATCTTGGTAAACTTTAATATCTACATGTATTTTAAAACAAATCACTATTTACTTTGAACTAATATTACTTGTTATATGAGCTGTTAGAGATTTGCATTGTTTGATCTTAAATTTATTTCACTAAATGATCATTCTCCTGAAAGCAATACTGTCACTTCAAAGCCAGAGTTAATGTGAACTTTTAATTAAGTGCATTGTACTTCAAATCGGCATATATGCCATTTTAAAATAGGGAATACCACCTCTCTGTCTGTACAGGTATATGCTAAGGTGTTGAAGGCTGGGTTTTTTTAAATACTAATCATTGTCTCAGTTGGGTACTTAGTGTCTCTGGAAGTTAACTGTTGATTAAAAAGTTCATTTTGGTTAATTGAGTAATTTGTATTATACTTGCATGTTTGAAGTGAGTTCTGAAAACAAGGCTTATATGCAGCTTTTCTCTTTGTCTCTGTCTTTTTTCCTCTCTCCCTACTTCCTTCATTAGATCATCCTATTATGATGGGCTTTGAGCCCCTCGTTAATCAGAGATTGCTGCCACCAACTTTCCCTCGATATGCGAAAATAATTAAAAGGGAAGAAATGGTCAATTATTTTTCCAGACTAATAGACCGAATAAAAACTGTATGTGAAGTAGTCAACTTAACTAATTTGCACTGTATACTGGTAAGCAATATTTATTATTTACAGCCAAAAATAGATCTTAAAATGTAACTTGAAAAAATTATTCCATATATACATGCTATTGCTCACTGGAGAAGAAACTGAGCTGTATGTATAGATCTGTTGGTCTTTCTCTTGGTGTGTACAATTTCAAAATTTGCTGGTTTTCCTGGTATAGAATATTTTTATTTTTTTGACAAAGACCTTTTCTCCTCTGACATGTCCCATTTTTCCCATAATCTGTTAAATAATTATACATGTCAGAGGCAGAGCCCAAGCAAGTTAATTTCCTTGTAACTCACTCTTTGGTTGAAGAGCTGCATCTGCAGTAGCTGAACATAATTCCTAGCTGTATTCCTGATTTTTTTCAGATTCAGTAAGCAGTATTCTGCATGCGTGCCTATAAAACAAGAGAGCACTTAATACATGTTTGTTTATGCATGTAATTCCCTGAGTAGACATAAAGTTAAGCACCTGTATATGTTCTTCCCTGAATAAGCGATGTTATTCAGTTACTCCCTGCATTTATTAGAAGACACTTAAATGCTTGAATTACTTCTTACCATATGTGTGCTCACTGACTTGAGACAAGAGCCACAGTTACATCAATGCGAAGATCAAGCAAAAATCTTTGTCTTCCTATTTCCTATTAAATTAATTAAAGCACTGTTTGCATGAAGCATCTGGTACCAGTGAAACACTGCAGTTTTGTAACATACCTGGTTCAGTTATGTAGTGATCTTAACAGTTTCACAGTATCTTTTTTTTCTACACTATCATCCTTCTAGTTGTTGCACCTGAAGAAGAAAATTCAGAAACCTTTTGTTCTGTTAAATGACAAGTAATTACAGAAAAAAACAGATTATAGCTTCATAATATGCTCTGTTTTGTTCAAATTATTCATGCTTACTTTCTTACAAGTTGTATAAGCTATGCTATGTGTATGTGTGTGTGTTTGTATCTACAAAATACAGGTGTGTTCACACAACTGTATATATATGTGTACATATACAAATGCAAATGCATGTTTGTATATAAAAACTAAATGCTTGTATGTGTGTAGGTGTATATATATAAAAATTGGCATATTAACCTGAATTGTCTTTTTTTCCTTAAATGTAAATTAGGATTTTTTCTGTGAGTTTAGTGAGCAATCACCATGTGTTCTTTCAAGATCCCTATTACAGGCAAGTCCTAATACATGTCTTTGAATAAAATACTTCTGCATTCATTATAAATATGGATTTATCTTCTTGTTTCAAATATTTAAATTATTTACATATCAGATATATTACTAGGTGGTAAAAATATTCTGGAGGTACTTAAGTATCAGGTATATGGAGGTTTTTGTCTGATCTAGCTTTTTAAAACATTTTTAAATACTGTTGTTTATATCACGTTAGTACATGCTAATTAAAACAGAAAATGTTAAGATTTTTTTTCTGCCCTAAAGCTGGGCCTGTGTGTGCATTTTTATGCTGTTCTCCATATGCTGTTTCAGTTTGGGGCTGGTATTTGTATTCATCCTCCCTGTTTGGACTGGTTTTCATGTATAGACTGCTTCTATTGGTACAACGGTAAAACTGATGGTTAGGGCAGAGCAGGCCACTACTTTTCTTCACACTGCTTCACTTACCTTGAAACTATATTATATATTCCTTAACTCAGAGTAAAATATGTTCCTTATAGGAGATTTTGATTTGATTAGGGTGTCCCTGAACGTCAGAATTCCTTTACTTTTGATCCCAATTAAACCACACATAGAGCCGATGAATATATTGGCAAGTAAAATGTTTTCATAGTGTGTGTGTTTTGATTTTCCACTACATATATTTGTGCAAGCCCTGTGGGTGCCTAACAGCAGAGCTCTTTCTCCAGTTGCTGAAGAACTATCTAAGAAAGGAACACAGCACTCATAAAGGAAAGTGAAATGAGCACCAGACATGACCAATGAAAGCAGTAGTATCTATAGGGTTAGAAAAAAGTCTGCAGTAGTCTGGAGATTTACGTTTGTCTGCCTCCAGGGAAACCACATAACTGATTTTATGTTAATCTTCAGAAACATCTGTCTGATTAACTATCTTTCAAGTCCAAGAAATAAAATCCTTTTGCATGCATTGTCTTATGCAAGTAATAGAGCTGTATTTTGTGTCATGGGAATACCACAGGAGTGAAAGATCTCAGTATGCTTCTGTTTCTGAGACTGTAACCTTGTACCTAGCTGAGTTGTTTTAATTCTTAAAGCAATCTTACAAGTTTCTGATATAGTATAGGTACTGTAAGAGCTTTCTATTAGTAATTTCTGAGGCATTACTGTTGCCTTTAAAACATGTTTCTAAAAACGCATTTTCAATTTCAGACAACTTTTCTGGTAGATAACAAGAAGGTGTTTGGCACTCACCTCATGCAAGACATGGTAAAAGATGCTTTAAGGTCTTTTGTCAGCCCTCCAGTACTCTCTCCAAAGTAAGTGGATCTTGAGTTTACTTGCATGCGTTTATATGTCTGATGAAAACCTATTTCTGCTTACAAAAGCAAGGACAGACACAAAAACAACATATGTATTTTGTACTTACAAGTGCGTATGTATGAGGGAGTCAGTTGCTGCACTCATGTTTTGTTTTTAATTTTGTGCTACATAGACTGGTGACATTTATAAACACATGTGTGTATGTGGATATTTCTCTTTTAGGTGCTGTCTTTATAATAATCACCAGGCGAAGGACTACATTGATTCATTTGTGACACACTGTGTTCGGGTAAGTGTTCATTCCAATTACAGCATGTTTGTAGTATTTGAGCACTTTCAAGATTTGCTTATGTTTGAAAATGAGACCATTTTTTTTAGACGCCTGACTTGAAGGCAAAATTGCAGAAGTTGGCCATCTTAAAATGGTAACACTTTTTAAAAAGCCAGTATAATTACTGCTGTTTGTTTCCTGTATTGTGCTTCCAGATTTTTCGCTAACATTTCACTTTATTAGAAATCTGCACCTACTGCCTCTTTACAGGGTAGTTTTGTGTCACAAAAAAAAGTCACGAAACAGATGCATAGCACTAGTAAAAACAAAATTATTTTTACATTCCCTTCAGTTTAAAAAAATCAAAAATTGGTTTAAAAGGTTCAGTTATTGAATGGGACGCAATGAAAACCTAAGAAAATTATAGATTCATTTAGGTTGGAAAAGGCCCGTAAGATCATCAAGTCCAACCTTTAACCATCACTTAAACCATGTCCCTCAGCACTACATCTACACATCTTTTTAAAATACCTCCAGGGATGTTAACTCAACCGCTTCCCTGGGCAGCTTGTTCCAATGCTTGATAAGTGAAGTGAAGAAATACTTTCCTAATATCCAATGTAAACTTCCCCTGGTGCAACTTGAGGCCATTTCTTCTTTTTCTATCAGTTGTTACTTGAGAGAAGAGACCGACCCCCACCTCTCTACCACCTCCTTTCACGTAGTTGTAGAGAGTGATAGGGTCTCCCCTCCGCCTTCTTCTCTCCAGGCTAAACAGCCCCAGTTCCCTCAGCCACTCCTCATAACACTTGTGCTCCAGACCCTTCACCAGCTTCATTGCCCTTCTCTGGACACGCTGCCAGACCTCAATGTCTGTCATATAGTGAGGGACCCAAAACTGAATACAGCATTTGAGGCGGGACCTTACCAGTGCCAAGTATAGGGGGACAATCACTTCCCTAGTCATGCTGGCCACACTGTTTCTGATAGAAGCCAGGACTTGACCACCTGGGCACATGGATTTAGGCATAAGAAATACTTCTCTTACCCCGAGTATTCTGTTGTGATCAAATTCCTAAAGGGTGCTTGCTCAGTCTCATATTGACTTGTGTACAGAGAAATGGGCTCTTGCGTCACTCCAGGTAGCTTGCTTGCCTGCTACCTTGCGCTCTGTAGGAAGCCTTAAGGAGCCCACCTCATAATATAGATGTATAAAACAGGTGGCTAAATCACCATCACATCCTCCTGTAGTTTCCAAGTTGTGTTGAAAATTTAAAACTACGCCTTGTTTCTTTCAGCCATTCTGCAGTCTGATTCAAATCCATGGACACAACAGAGCTCGTCAGAGAGATAAACTGGGTCACATACTTGAGGAATTTGCCACCCTCCAGGATGAGGTAATGTCCTAGGCAGCAGGCTGGCAAACTTTTCTTTCCAGGTGTAGTCCTACCAGACTGGAGCATGTGGTATTAGATTCTAGATGAATGACGCAACTCTTCTGTTTGTCCTAAAATCTTTAGGACAAGGATTCCTGAAATGCAGGCCAGGAGGTCTGTAGGTGCATCCAAAGACTTTCTGTTACACCTGTTGAACAAAAAAAGTATTATGTTTTTAAAGATTAACTTTGTCCAGTAAGTACACTTCAGGGAAACCTGCTGTGATGCCTGTAATTCAGTGGTAATTCCACTGCTTGTAGTATCTATCCTGCTTGTAACTATCAGTCTGCAAGGTGTAACCAGGGAAAGGTGGATCAGCTATATTTACACAACACCTTTGAAAACTCAGCATTATAGTTATGTAAGATGTAAATTGCAAAATTTTATAATGGTTTTAAAAATACGCAAATAGCAACTCTTAAAAATATCTGCTGCAATTGATTTTGAACATTTCTTAAAACGGGGAGTGAAAGATGACATGGAAAGGTTTATTTTCACTTGCTGGAAATTTATTTCTTCAGCAGAGAGAGGCATGAAATAATATTTTCAAAGATGTGCATGCTATGGAGAACAGTCGAGGAATTCAGAGTTGGAGGGGAGATTTTGAGTGCTTCAGCTTCTCTCAGGCTGGTTTGGTTGAGAGTTTGTTGCAGTACTGTGGCTGAGGCACTTTTTTTCACTTCGTAACAGGTTATGTGGATTTATGTGGATTGACTTGTTCAGGACTGCTGATAATATTCCAACTGCAGGAGACTTCATGTCTTCCATACAATTACATTTTTAAGACTAAATTGGTCTTAGCAATATTTTAGTTTCTCTGGTGGGTCACAGTGTGTTTCTTGCATTTTAAGCTTGTAAATTTATTTTTTCAATGCAGCGAGTTTGTTTTGGGTTGTTTTGGGTTTTTTTTAAAGAGGTAAGTAATTATTGCCAATATAGCAAAACAAATAACAGATTGTTATGGGTTCTGAGTTTCTGTGCTCACATGACTGCTAAGAATCTGTATGTAAACACTTTTTAAAATTTTAAATTTAAGAAAACCGTTATGTTGTTCCTGTATTACTGTATAGAATTTTTTTTTTCTCTGTGCAGCAGAATTTATTTATAGTTATGTGAATAACTTTTCTGTTTTCTGGCAATTCTAGACTATAGAGGTGGCAATATCTATAAAAACGTATTTTTGTCTTTTAATCTGGAGCATGGCTTCACTGACCCAATTTGCATTCAGATTTTGTTAAGATTTTATTTCTGGCAGAACTTGGCTGTTGTTTCAGTCAAATGTTGTTCTTTTGTCTGTTACTCTTCTCTCTTTTTCATTAGGCAGAGAAAGTAGATGCAGCACTTCATAGTATGTTACTGAAGCAGGAACCGCAAAGGCAACATCTGGCTTGCTTGGGCACCTGGGTCCTATATCATAACCTTCGTATCATGATACAGTATCTTCTGAGTGGCTTTGAGTTGGAACTTTACAGTATGCACGAATATTACTACATTTATTGGTACGAGGATGCTTTATTGACAACTTTTGGAGGAGGGATGCTCCCAAAGAGCTATAATTGTGCAAATATTTAAAGGAGGCACTTCAACTATGACTTTTGATCTCAGGCTTGCTTAACACAGTATTTAGTTTACCTATTCATAAAATTACAAGTGGAGAAAAAAAATCTGTGCATCTCTTTTCTAGACTTACTGAATAGTGTACTTTTTGTTCTGAAACAGTAATTTTCTCTCTCTATAGCTTTTTAAAACAGTGTCTTCTAATGACAATAAATGAAAAATACGCCGATTTTGGCAGACAAGAGAATGCAGGAGGAAAGCAATTTCCTTTATTCTTTTCCATCTTTGTAGTACCAAGATCAATAGTCTTGTTGATCTCTAATATTTTTAAAAAGGTCCCAGAGCTTTAAGTTGTGACTGGAATCTGAAGGTTGACTAGGTAAAAATAACATCTCATTCCGTGAGCATATTTGAAGACGCATCTGCCTTTGGTTAAAATGATTGCACTCTATGGAGTCAAAATACATTTTATTTTTCCACTTCCATTCACATTATTTATTTTTCATAGTTAGTCGCTTAGTCCAAAAGATAAGTGATTTTTAGATTATTCATTTTTTATTTCAGCAGTGACAGTTTAATGTTGAACCTGCCTGTGTTAAAGTGCTGCTGTACTTTGGTGTCTTGTTTTGTTTTCCATAAAGCTACCGATAAACTCTTATTAGGTAAGCTGTAAGCCTTCTTTCTGAGAGATTAGACTGGTTCAAATGACTTGAACTTCAGTGCATCTCATTATGTTGCCATGCTGTTTCATTAGTGGATTAAGCAATAAGTAAGAAAATTAATACTCCAGATAGTTATCAGAACATGGCAATGTTCTTTAAGTAACACCTCAATACATAATACCATGTTTTCTGTAAGACAGTATTTTTTACATGCCCATATTTCCCCCTGCTATTTTAATAAAATCACTCTTAATTGGAACTGTCATGTCAACTGCTTTATCTTCTTACTGAAGTGAAGGACAAAAAAGAGAGGGAGTTTCTGAGGGGAAATGTGTAATAAAACTTGTAATTATTTCTTAGTAATCTTTCTTCTGAATTATGACTTACAAAGTATTATTTCTTCTTCACGTGCTCCAGATCTGTAATTTCTACTTTTTTTTTTTTTTTTTTCTCTTGTTCCTCTTGATTTGAAGAGATTTATTGGATCTGCTTCCACTTACTAAGAAGTGGCTTTTAAAGAATTCTTAATAATTTCTCTTAAATCTTAAAGAATTGCATGTGGATCTCATGTTGCTGTGGGCTTGGCCCTTTTATTTAATAATTCTTGACATTTTTAAATACTTGAAACAAATCAGTAATAACCTTGTTTCTCAAAACAGTAATTCCTAACAAAAGTAGAAAAGACTTAAACATAATATATTTTTAAAAAGTGCTTAATTTGCTGGAGGAAGGAAGAATTCTTGAAAAATTTTATCTTATATGGGCTTTGAAATAATAAGAAGCTTATACGTCACTTAGTAAACATATGAGAAACTTGTGTACCTTGACCTGTCTGTGATTGAACCTGTACAGAGTCTTGCTGAAAAAAACCTCCAACCAAACAAAACGAGAACAGAGGCTTAGCTGTTGATTTCAGCTGTGCAAAACAAAAGAGTTTTAACTGCCCTAAAAGTTGTCTGTTACTTTTAGTTCTTTGAGTAAACAACTTGGTATTCAGTGAGGATGTGTGCGTTATGAATACATTTTCCACTGTGGTATGTAACAGCCACATACTGTTTTTACTATAGGTATCTATCAGAGTTCCTCTATGCCTGGTTGATGTCAACACTGAGTCGCGCTGACAGCTCTCAAATGGCAGAGGAGAGAATAATGGAGGAACAACAGAAAGGCCGTAGTAGTAAGAAAACAAAGAAAAAGAAAAAAGGTACCTAGGTGTAGAGTGTAACTCTGATTTCCGCCCCACGTTGCAGCCATGTACAATTAAAATTCAAAATTATTGTCAACACTGTTGTGGGTATGACAAATGTCCTGAAGTTTATGAAGGCTCAGTATAAAACTCTTTGACTAAAAAAGTCAGTCACTGCATAAGAATTTCCCGTTTGCTTACTTTTAGATAGGTCTTTCAGAAAAACTCAAACTTACTTATATTCACAGCTTCACCAATTGTGTTGTGTTGAATTCTGTAAGATGCAATTAACAGGTCCAGAGCAATTAACCTTTGAAAGATACTACCTTTCTACAGTCTGTAATTCCTGCAGAATTGTGGGTTTTGTGACTGTAGCTAGATTCAAAGACTAAACTTTCAGTGTATTTCTGTAATTTTTCTTTGGCTTCAGAAGGTGTTCAAGCATGTTTCTTAATTTTACAATGGTGAGTTGCCCCGTTTCAATTCAGTGGTAGTACTGTTGTGCGAAAGCCCCTTTAGAAACTTTTGCTTTCTCTGGTGTATATGCATGAGAGAAAACGAGAATGTCCCTTCCTACATCATACCAGTCTGGCTCTGTGGTCAGAACTGTAGGCCTGTACCAAAAAGGCAGCCAAACCCAGTGCCTAAATAGCATTTGATATGGATTTGCCATGGGTAAGTGGCTACTAAGACTGTGGAATGTTGGTTACCTTGGCATTAACATTGCAAATAAACACCATGCAGAAGCTTGCTTTCATTCTTTGCTATTCCTTCTTTTTTGTGTGTTTATCCTTGTTGTCTTTTCAAGGGAAACAAACAATTAGATACGTCAGCTCAAGGCCACATCAACTGAATTCCCTTGTCTCTAGAAATACAGAAAAATGCTACTGTGTTTTATACTTTCTAAAAAGGTGTCAAGTATGGGGCAATTTGGCACCAGTTAAACACTGGAAGCTACAGGGGAGCTTAAAGGAATATCATCTTATTAGGATAAAAATGCTTTAACCTTTTAGTCTTAAAAGTTTAAAAAAAAAAAATTGAGGAACTAAGCAAACAGGCCTCTCAACTATAAGCTTTAAATTCCAGACTGCTGTTTAGTGTTGTATAGTGGCATGCTAACCACTGACTGCCTGGACCACTTTCTTTCATTAAGCGCAGTATGGTATTCATGTGACTGTTGTCTTGAGATATTTTGTGTAATCAGGAGCCAGGTGAGCAGAAATGCATGTCCATGCTTTTTATGCTTCGGTTTTCTTTCATTATTTTAAAATATAGTTGAGAATTATGTTACTTTCATAAAATTTGAAAGAACTGTTTTGATCTGAAACTAGTATGTGTACTTACATTGAATAAACAAAAAAAATTTGTGTGACATTTGCAGTTCGCCCTCTCAGCAGAGAGATCACCATGAGTCAAGCGTACCAAAATATGTGTGCTGGGATGTACAAGGTAATTTATTTGTGGTTGCTGAACAATGGCTTCAGTGTTTTTGTAACAGGAATCAAGCATACATTGCATGCCTTCTTTGTTTTTAGTGGCACTGTAAATTAGGTTCAAGTTTATAATGTGATAGTTAATTCTCTCCTATTTTTCTATCATTCCAGTAATAGCTAACTCTTAACTTTTATCTTGCTTACAGCAAAATATGACATAAAGCTAACACTTTTCACTATATTTACCCTTTCCTTTTTAGACAATGATCGCATTTGACATGGATGGCAAAGTAAGAAAGCCTAAGTTTGAACTGGATAGTGAACAAGTTCGATATGAGCACAGGTTTGCTCCATTCAACAGTGTTATCACACCACCCCCAGTGCACTACTTGCAATTTAAAGTGAGTAATCTTAAAACATCGTGCCACTCATGCTTTTATAACAATCATTTGCTCACCTGCTTTAAGACATTGTCATTGGAAAAGGAGCCTTTGATATCTCGCAGTTCATATTGAAGCATAAGTCAAAATTGCAAGGAGTTCTAGGTGTAGTTGTGTGCGAAGAAAATACTTTGGATTCTTATGAAAATTAAACTCATAGACATGTAAGTATTGGTCTGATGTGGCAGTTTGAGATGCTTGTGTTGGTTTGCATGAAAATCTCCTGAAAGACTATTGACAGACTTTTTTGCTGTGATTTATATAGCGACATGTTTTTATTACTGCAGCAAGCAAACAGGAAAATGAAACAAAAGTAACTTTGAGTGTTAAATCACAGAAGTGTTGGTTGGCAGGGACTGGTGGAGGCTTGTCTTTTCCAGTCTCCCTGAAGCAGCATTATAGATCACATCATCTGTGTCTTTGTCTAGGCAAGTCTGCAAAAATCTGAACTGAAACTATACTATTTTATATACCTGTCACTCTCCCTAATTTAGTGCTATGAACAGATGTAGTGGAAATGAAGACTATAATGGCTTCTTCTTTGTCACTCAAGTTTTTTTTTTATCCCTGACAAAAAAAAATAATTTGCAAGTATCAGAATTATTTAAAATGAAGTTTTGAATAGTTCCAGTATCTCCCTTGCTGTAAACTTTGAGTAAAGAATACCATATACTTTTTTTTTTCCTCCTATTTTTTTTCCTATAATTTCACATCCTACCCTGCTGCATGGCACTATTAAAGCAAATGAATTACAAGTTGTTCGGGAGAGGAATTGTTTTATAAAGAGTATGAGAAATTCATTGTATTTTGTGGCACTATAAAATAATCATTAAGCACAACATTGCTGTTTGATATTTGCCATTTTAAATACTGAAGTTGAAAACATTTATTTATTTATTCTTAAAATATTACTTAGTTGACATAACTTTTTCCTTGAATGCAGTAATTTGTTTTCATTTAAGGTGGTAAAAATACGATTTGTTGGCAGTTGATTTTAATATATATTTATATATTTCTGTAACACGCTAGGAAATGTCTGATTTAAATAAGTACAGCCCACCTCCTCAGTCATCTGATCTCTACATGGCAGCTAGCAAACACTTCCAGCAAGCTAAAATGATTCTTGAGAATATTCCTAATCCAGACTATGAGGTAAGGCTGAAATACTGGAAAAGGGGGTATTTGCTCATAATAGTGTTTTCAGCTGGATCTGCTTGAGATCCAAAGTGTACTTTGTCAAAGTGCTTAGCAAAGCTGAGTGCTTTGATTAAGGAGTGGATGGAGGAGGGTGTTGGCATCTACGCAGTGGTCTGTTTCAGTGGATTAAATAACATAATCAGGGTTGTGCTCACTGTTCCAAAACCTCTCCCTGCTGAGTATCTTGGATGCAAGAGCGCAGCTTAGTTCCTTCTTGCGTGTTGCCTTCTGGCCCCGTTCTAAAAGCATATCGGTTTTAACAAGAAGGTGGCACGTGCCTGCCTCACTTACCTGGAATCTGGTAATTCACACGTGCCTCCTGAGAGGTGGGAAAAATAGGTTTGAATGTCATCAGGCTGAAAAGAGGATTGAGTCTGGCACTTGCTTCCTAGAGCAGTTTTCTCAGCACTGCGCTGTAAACACAGGTAGGATTTTCTTCCTCTTTGTCCATAGCCTAAAAATTAGGTGTCTGTGACTGTATTTTGGAGCAAGGAGGATGCTTATTCCGTCACATCTGAGCAGATTAAGAACAGTTACGGGATTGGGTCCTCCTGAGAATTTAGGAATCCCTGCCTGTTCTCTGGATCCTGGTGGTACTCACACATGAGCTATCTGATTGAGGCTAACCAGGGTAGTTATAAGTAGTTTGAGCATGCCCAGAATACTTCCATGCAAAAAGCCACCAGTTTGATACTTGGGTTTCCCCTTCTTATCATGTCACAGTGTTGAGGGTAGGTGCCTGGACTCTGTCTAAACCTTTATTTGGATGAGTGCCTCAGAACTTCCCACAGTTTAACAAGTTTCAGTGTAAGCATGGAGAGCAATGGTTTCTGTGGCCTGTTGAGTTAAAAAAAGTGACTATTAAAATAAACACCCCCTTCATTAAATTTCATTAATCCAGCTGTTATACTTCAAAGCAAATCCAAAACACTCTTGATTTCTGTTAAACTAATACTGTAAGAGGACTGCTGTATTGTTAGAGTATGTAAACATTTGGGTATTACCTCTGAAATAATTTTGCAGTCACATGCTTTCACTTGAAAACTTCTTGCTGTTTGTGTTTAGGTCAATCGCATTCTAAAAGTTGCTAAACCCAATATTGTGGTCATGAAGCTGCTGGCAGGAGGCCACAAAAAAGACTCGAAGGTAAGAAAATGCCAGTTGAATTGAATGTGAAATGTAGTATTACACCCAGTGCTACCACAGATCTCTTACAGCTGAATGAGCAGGTTGAGGCATAGTTACTCTAACTCTTAAAAGAAATGGGAAAGTAACAATGCATTCTTCCCTTGGAAATTGTTGTAATTATTTAAATATGAAAAACCCTCGTTTCTAAATGTTTTGGAAAAAGAATTGGGAAGTGCATGTGGGATGACATGTACAAATATGGATGGGTATTCTTCAAGAGCAGGAGGAAGTAATTGGTAGAAGTGTATCAGCAGCTTGTGCGAATGTGGTTGGGAGAGTGCTGGCTGGCAAGATTAGTGGGTGCCAGCTGGGCCAGAGGGAAGAGAGGCCTTCAGGTGTCCTGCCAAAGGCTGGGCACAGAAGAGTCATGGAGCACACTGCAGAGGCACACTAGCACTCTACAGCTTTGTGCCCATCACTCTTGGAGACTGATTAACATATCCAAAACTGCATTGGAATATTTTTCAGGTATTAATGTAAAGAGCTAGGATTTTTTTTTTTTTAATCTTTTGCTGTTGAGAAGTTTTCTTCTATCACCTGCAGGGTATCCCTCATTTTGAGTATGAAATTCGGTAGTACTGCTGTGTAATGCTTTAAATCTTTTCTTTCTAGGTTCCTCCAGAATTTGACTTCTCCCCTCATAAATATTTTCCAGTTGTGAAGCTTGTTTGAAATACAAGAGATTATTGTGAGGATACCTGACGCATGACCTGTGCATCAGATATGTAGGCTGGAAATATCTAGTTCTGTACCCAGACTGAGAGGGATCTCCAGGATAAAAGTACTGTTACATGGAATATCTATAGTCTGCCTTCTTTATGTGATACAAATGAGAACTGCTGTTTTAAAGTGGTTTGTATAAAGTTTTATGGGTGAAGCTGATTTTGATCAACTGTATTGAAGAATGTTGTACCTGGATTGATCTTACTACAGACTTAATCATGTCATTTTTCTGAATGAGCTCTGACAGAAAATGGTGGTTTAGGAATTTAATAACATTTGGAACTGAATAAAAATGATGCAGTAGGTCCTCATGTCTGATAAGCACAGCTCAGCTACTGAAATTCTGCTTTGAACAGTGTCACTTAGAGAGATTGTGAGTTTCCATATTTTTTGCCTAAATTGCATCAGATTTGCTCACTTTCCAAGTAGGAAGACTGGGATCTCTTCCTGCCAAGTCCTGCAAGCTCAATCAATCTTAAGAGCAGATGAAAACTAGTCATTTATTTCCTGCTGCACTGAATTCAGTGATTTTTGTTTTACTGAAGTCAGTTGTCTAGGAGGTATTTTGTCTCAAATGTAGTAGAAGTCCTTGAAGACAGTGAGAAAGGGAATAACTTATTTCTAGTTGCAGTTTATTCCCTTGTCTTTATTCTTCATGGTACCAGAGAATCTGTGTAGCTAACACTGTAATAGACAGTAGCAACACAAGACACGAGGAGTGCATTTTAACTACTCTGCAACTTTTATTTCAATCCTGTTGTTACTTTGCCATTGCAAAAGAGGGACTGCTACTTTGTTCCATTGCTCAGTCAGGTCTTGCATGACCATCATTCTCTTGACTGCCATGCTGCTGCTGGATCCTACTGCCTCCCGTAATGGTTGATGTAGGTAGAAATCCCAAACAGAAGGAGCCCCAAAGCTACCCTTTCCTTCCTGGAACAGTTCTTCCTCCTGTGCTTCCAGATGTGAAATAGAGGTAAAGCTGTTGTGCTGAGCAACCTTCTGCTACAAGAGGGGAAAAAAACCAAAGCAACAGGTTAAGAAACTGACTTGCTGTTTGATTAAACCATACTGCCAAGTCTTACCTGGGCTGTATAAGCAAATCCTCCAGGTATAACTGTGTTGGACAGGACAATTCTTGATTTTGGTGCAGAATGGCTTCCTCTGTAGTTACGAACTTGTAACTCCTTGACCATGCAAGACATTTGTACTGTGGTGTTAATACTACTTCAGCTCCATGTGAGCTAGAGCTGGAAAACAATGAAGAAACTGAAGTAAAACCCCCACTTGTCTGCCAGCAATTTGCAGCTTCTTGCAGTAAGAAGCATTACTCTGAAGACATGCTTTTCCTGATATCTTTGCTAAGGCAGTTGCATACCATTTTACGTTTGCTTATCATGATTAATATACTTGAATGCTTCTGTATCATTGCCAAAGGAATGAAAATCCTGGAAAATGTAGTTGTAAAGATGGCAAACTGTTTCTAGTGCAGGACACTTAGGATTCATCTGGCTTTTGCTGCCTTCTTGTGATCTTGAATTGCATGACAGCAGCTCAAGGACAGCCTTCGGTATTTCTCCAAAGGAAGCAGCACATAAAAGGGAAACCAAGTTCAACATCCTGTATAGAACTAAGAAAACAGGAATGATCATCTTTCCCATTTTCATTAACATTAGAAGTGGATGAACTGTATAGAGTAAGGTGAATACACATTAGAAAAGATTTATTTTTTTATTTTAAAATGCTCATCTAAAATGGATCAGGCTTAGTATTTAAAAAATCATCAAGGACAAGTGTTCATTTAACCCCGAGATGATTACAGCAAAGCAGCTTTCCCTGCCTTACACAGCTAAAACTTTTAGTGATAGACAACACTATGTAAACCACAGTTCCAACTGAATCTCATTTTCTTCAATTGAAGTCCTTTAATTTTAAAATTCTATACAGTATACATACAGGCCCCTTTTCTACTAGAAATCTTATCACTCTAATTACATTCCTGTAGCAGTTGAAGCCATTGAGGATAGACTGTATTCCTTTATGCTTTTGAAGATTGTTCTTGTGCAGGTTTTCAGATCCCCTACGGTCAGTGGTGTAACAAGTGTGCTTCATATAAAGGTGGTCTTGTGTATGGAGAGGACAACATCTAGCTGGCCAGCGAGAAGCCCGCTCAGGTTTGGGTACTGTACAGAAATACAGGCAAAAAGAAGTCTCTCACAATACATTAATTACCTTACGGATTTTGTTTGTTTGGGATTTTACCAGTATCAATTTAAAGCCATTTATTGAATTTGAACAGAGTGTTTCACTGTACTTCTTATACTGTTAGAATATATGCTTTTTAACAATCACTATTAAATTCCTGACTTCATCTCAGCTATATAATTGTTTACAGATTAAGTTCTGAGAAAATGGTACTTTTACTCAAAATATGGGTAAAATTTTGATGCTATAACATGCTGTTATTTGCAACAAAAAAAATCAATAACCCAAGTTTCCCAATACTTGTCAAAAGAGATACTCATACCTCCTTTTTTTCTTGTCTGCTTACAAGCATTTGTTTTCCCTGCTGTATTGACTGTAGTAGCCCAGACCAGTTAAGTCTGACTTAAATGGTGAAAAAAAACAGAGTAACCAAAAACTCAGAACTGGATGTTAGTGCTTTTCTTAGAAGAATTCAAGTTACATGAGGCAAGTTTATCAGTGAACTGCTTACATATTGAGGCTTAATAGGCACCATTTGACTTTCATTTGATAACAACTAATATGTTCTTCACACGCAAAAGAACCAACCTTCCACTTGCATATTTATGACATCTTAAGGTACAGGAGTTGTAAACTAGTATACTGAGGAATGACACACCACAAAAGTAGTTACAAAATGAAGTGCATTAAGAGAAAGCCAAGACAAATTTGTATTTTCTTAAATGGAATTGCTGGTTGGGAAATTAGTCGTGTCTGTCTGCTCCCATGCTGTATCGACAGAGGGTGTTCTATACTTGCAAAGATTGCTCCAAACACAGGTGTCACAAATACCATCTTCCAAACAGTTGGCCATGCAGCACTGGTTGGACTGCAGTTAAGGGTGCTTTAGTGGTAGTAAAGGGTATTTCTAGGTTATCACAAGTAAACTAGTTTCTAGTTTACATTCAACAAGTTATAGAAAAGACAAAGACTACAGAACATTAACACCACAATACATTGTGCCTAACATAGGACACTTCACAACAGCTACACCTTCACCTGTGGGAGACGTTGAGATGTCTGGTAAATGCATAGTCCGGTTTACCTTCTTCAGAAGTCTGGCAGAGAAGATCAGTTACTTCAAACAGCTGAGATGATTGCTGTTGTATGCGGCAAGCATTTGCCTTTCTACATTTTAGTGGAAGATAGTGGCTGAAGGAGTAAAGGGTAGTCATAGCACTTCATTCATAGCCTTTTCAGATGACTTCTGTCATGAAAAGTTCAGGAGTTTGAATTTTTACACTCTGAACTTGTGCAAGTTAGTGGTAACTGAACCATACTGAAGTACTGAATCTTGTGAACAGGAGTCCAGTAAAGCTTTCAGGAAAATCTGCTAATCTCTTAATGAGGAGACAGTATTGTCAGAATCCATTTGTTTTGTTGTTTTTTTTTTTTTTTTTAACCTGGAAGCTAAGAACACAACCAGGACAGTGCTTCAGCCTGGTTACACACAGTGTAAGCTAGCAATTTCATTTAGGAGGCCCAGGAAAATATATCATACTGCATAATATCTGAGGACTATAGTCATGCTTTCTGAGTCTATCTAGCTACACTGCAGTAAAAAGGTGCCAGAATAGGCAGACAGGTAGACTGCAGCATGGGCCATTTTCATTCTTCCCAAGTTTTATCAAGGTAAGTTAGCTCCTCTTTAGGCTGGGGATTTCTCTACGGCATTGCTCAGGGGAGAGATCGATCCTTGGAAGAGGACTCTTCTACCACCAATCCACACATACTGTTACTGTAGTATCACTGTACAAGTTAGCCGACTTCAAAATTACTATGCTTATTGCTAGCTGGTTTCAATTTTGTAATCGGTAGGAAGGAGAGAGTCATTACAGAGGTCAAGCTGCTTTAAAACAAGCCTCCCGAGATTTAACATTATTTTTTTAACCACTGAAACAGTACTAAAACTTCAAAAAAAAAATACTACTTCATTTGGGCCCTTAGTGAAGCCTTGAGAAGATAATCAAACCATTCTAAGATCACTTTGCTCTCATCATTCCTGCATTTATATGAAGAGGTGACTAAGTTGCATTATGAACCTCCTTCGTTTACAACCTCTGCCGTTCTTCACCATGCTCAGATAAGTGGTTCTTCAGATCTTCAGGGTTTTGAACTAATAAGGAAAAAAGAAAAAGACACAGAAATATCTTTAAGAGACAGAAGTGATGGTTCATCTAGAACACAGCAGGAGAAATTTTGAAAGGACTGTTTAGTACTGTATAGTATAGTAAAGCTAGAGATGCTGTTCCCACCGCATGTTAAACAGTAGCTTCAGTGATGCTATACAGAAAATAGGTCACACTGTCAACATGAGGGAAAGCTCAAAAGACAAACAGAAATTAGCTAGCTATATCTGCTACAGGATATGGTCCAAAATATCATCTTAAAATTTTCAACATGTGGTACTTAGGACAAAACTTTTTTTTTTTTTCTTTTTTACCATTTTCAATCCCTGCAAGTGCTGCTTGCTTTTCTGTTTCTGATTCAGCTTCGTTCTCATCTAAATTGTAATCAACATCCTTGTCCTGGTTCAGTGCTTCATGTTCCTGTTTGTCTGGAAAAACATTAATTAGTTTTATGCTATACCATAAGCTCATCTGCACGTGAAACAGTTACGGTCACAATCTTCCACAGAATTTACTTTGCTGCTCAATGAACAGCTGTTTAGAGTAGGTTTTCATGCTATTTTTCCTTTTGAACTGTTAAATTTTAGAGCAGCTTTTGCTGTTAAGTCTTGTCTTAAGAGCTAAATAAAAGACAGAATCTTTTGGGATTTGGAAAGCGTAATAAAATTCAGACACCACTCAGATGCACAGAAAGGAAAAGCATTAAACAATTTCAGAATACATTAAAGGACAGCCTAAGGAAGAGTAAAACCTGAAGCCAATGCTGAAAGCTTGATTGTGGTATTGTTTTAAATGTGTTACCACCAGCGCTAAAATGTATCTCAGCTTCCCTCTTTCTTGTTTTAAGTTTGTCCACCAAGCAGAAAGCTGTGAATACAGCATGTAAAGGTATTTTAAGTGCTAACTTGACACAAAAGTGTTTTTCTGTAAAAGATTTTCTTCACCCAATCATTAATTAATCTAAAACAACTTTTACTGACTTTCTTAAGATTTCTTTATATAGAGAGATCAGAGTTAAATGGAAACATTATTTCTGATTACCGAGCTACTACCATTAATTTTCAGTTAACCAGCCAGAAAAAAACATAATGGCATAGAAGTATAAGCATACCCTACTTAAGAGAGATCGGAGTCCCTGGTTCTGAACGTTCTTAAGCCAAGCCCTGAAACCAGTAACTGGCTTGAAAATTTTTAGCCTTATGTTGTCCACATTCATACCACCACATCAAATAAATTTTTACAGTTACAGACCTAAAAGTCTCAAACTCTTAAAATAAACTTTTATTGAAAGAGAGAGGATGCTGAGAAGAGGTAGAAGAAATCTTTTTCTACCTTAGGCTACAAGGAACCTATGCAGTAAGGTATGGTACTTTTGTTGAACAATCAAGCCTGAAGAACATCCTGCCAGTCTTTCCACCTCACAGAAACTCTATGACCTTTCACAGGCTACATGGCAGAGTTTTTTCTTGCAGTAACTGCTGGATGACTTTTTTTAACCTAATCTTTCTGCTACTTCCATTAAAATGGAAGCAGTTTAGGTAACTTGTATTCACATCTCTGTGGGGGAGAACCTGCTCTGGCCAGCATCTTTGTGAAGCAGTTGGCAAAATACTATTTTAGCAATGCAGATGAGATTATTTATCCCTGCCAAGTTATCAACAGTGTTAACATCATTACCCATGATTCTATGAATGTGTTTACTAGAAAAGCATAAACAGCATTTTTTGTGGGTATCAATTCCTGGTCTGACTGCCCTAAGTCCTCTTCTTGATTACTCTGGGCCACTGGGTCCACGTGAGACCAAGTTTCTCAAGACACACAGAAGGTTGTCTAGGTTCCGGTCAAGTTGAGGCATACCATCAATACTCTGCTGCTTGGTGCTGTGGAGACACGTGGTTCAGGGTCACGTGTCATAGGTGCCAGAAACAGGCACCTTTGCAACATCTGATCTGCAGTTTTGCAGACTCACAATAAGAAACTTTAGATACCTCAAGTCTTAATCGAGTTTTATTCACACTAGGTTATTCTGAAATAGGGATAACTAGCATTTACACACTGACACTATAAAAAGACTATCTGCAAAACATCAATACTAGTATCTCTCTACTTATCAATGCTTTGGATAATTAACATCTCATGCTTTTCAAATGCATCGTATTCTTATAAGGCCTCACTACCAACAAGTTTTGGGGCTAATTTCCCCAAATACTTTGTACAGCTAATGGAGAGAGAGACAGGAAGGCTGCTACGGTGATGCAGAAGAACTCAGCCTGGTAGCTCCATGTTGCACAAACAGAAGCCTCCATCTTTACCCACAGACTGTAGAAGACTGCTGGGAACTGACTAACCTTTTGCATCTCACACTAACCTTTATGAAACCTTACACTAAGCCTGGCCAGCTGCCACCACTGTTGCAGAAAGCGTGCCCTATTCCACACTTTGATTTCATTACTGTTCTTAACGACACGTGACATGCTACCAACCAGCCTTTCCGGGGGGCGAATCATCCTGCTTAGCGTCATAATTTACCAGCTGCTCCCTCTCAACTTCCTCACTGGCAGCCTGCTCTGCTGCTGGCTGTAATGCATCTTGCCCAGCTACACGTTTTTCATCTTCAGGCGGATTCAGCTCCTTCTCTAACTCAGGCAGCATCTCCTTATAACCTGCAGCAGCCTTGAGTGAATCCTGTGGGGTTTTCAGTTGACTAGACAGCTTCTCCTCTGCTGCCTTAGGCTCCTGTTTTCTGGTGTCAGCTAGGCCGTTTATTCTTTCTGTAAACAAAAAAAATGATTCTGAGTAAAAAACCTAATGCCTTTTTCAGTGGTGGCACAAGTAAAAACCTTTAATAAATACTGCTTTATCTATCTTCCTCATTCAATTCTTGTTTTTCCTCTGAAAGAACATCTTTCAACCACATCAGTTTCAAAGACAAAAAGAAGACAACCCTTGTTTTCCGTACTGGGAACAGCTAAAGGATGAAACATTGTTTACTGTCAACAGATTCACTCTTCTAACTACTTAAAATTTTGGCATGTGCAGTTAACAAATGGGCAGGTGAAACACAGCAGTTCAAATAAAAATTGCAGTGGCCTAAATAAGCATCGGGTTTCTGTCTGTTACATTTTGTTACTAACGATAAAACTGCTGTGGTGTTCAAAAGTAGCTCAGGACAAAGCAGTCACATGGGCAGATTGGTAAGTAAACCAAGGCTTCTTTTATTTTTAAATATGAAGAGGAAATGCAGGAGGGCTATTACTTTTAGCAGACATTACCGTATCTTTTTCCCTGTGTATCTGTATTTTTAACTAAGAAAAAAAATCATGATAAAATTTTCCTGAATGAACTATATATAGATGTTGTCTTCAGTTGCTAGCTCTCTGAAATGAGAGTTGCACGCTCCCAGGATTTTAATTTAAGATAGCATGTAAGTATTATTAAATAGGAAATTGAATTTCTATCACACACAGTACTACACGAGACTGACGCATGAGGATACGTCCATTCAAATTAATAGTTTCTGGGAGTTCAGTGCCAAAAGCAACCATTAGATTAACTAATCTGATCTCCTGCGTATCATATCCCGTATGTGCATTTTGCTCAGTGACAACACATGGGAAGCATGGATGTGTGTTTGCTTAAAGCCTAACTTTCAGCTATTCCCTAGGGAGAGGTAGCAGGCTAGATGTGTCAAACTTACTAAGGAAGCAAATTCTAAATGTGCTTGAAAATCATTGCTTCCCAAAACAGGGTATTTTCTCCATATTAAATGACCCCAGAATTGTAAATATTCGTATTTTCCTTTACATGCAACATGTCAATTACAACAAAACCAGACCAGTAGAAATGCTAGTAATAAAAATGCTTGAATCGATATTATACCTCTCCAGAGCTGAAAAATTTGTTAAAGTTCAGTCTACTGGTGTTGCTTTTTCCATCTTAATTTTGTGTACAACAATGCTTTTGAAACGTTCAATTAAATTACAAAAGTTCTTCACCTGTTGCTAGTGAGACAGTGATTTCCCTCTCACCTTTAGCCTGCAGTGGGTCTATCTTTTTTACTGTAGGTACTGCTTTAGGTACATCTTCATTGGGTTTCTGCTGTTCCAAGTCAGCCTGCTTGAACTCGGTTTGCTTCAAGGCTGGCAGTTGAATATCGACCTGTAAAGTGAATGTACACAGATAAGCACTGGTCTATATAACTACTCCTGGATTTAGAAAGACAAGTGGAAGTTAGGTAAGAATTCATTAAGGGGGAGGGAGGGGGGAGGGAATCCTAACACACTCAGAAATATTTGGACTGAAATTTTTATTGGTGATGGAAGTACCATACAATCTTGAATATGCAGTGATGTTTGTATATAACAGCACAACACATCAGGAGAATTTCCACACCTTCTTTAATCTAATTGCAGCTAACAATGAGGTTACTGTTCTTGGTTAGTGTTTCTCAAGAAACACTACCTGTTATTGTCTGAGGGTCACAGAACTGTCACACCACACACTTCTCCACAGTTACCCACTACCACGTCAGGGTCAGCAGAACCAAAAAAAACCCAGACGGCATTAACTACTGTTAGTAATCTACAGGGGCATGTAAACTGAGTTTAATTAAGCAAGACTGTATAGAACTGGTCTAAAACTATGTTGAATGCAGGATTAAAAGAATTAAAAAATAAATCAATCAGCTAGACATCAGTATCTGTTTAACATGATGGAGCTTACTTAAGAATGTATTAAATACTGGTACCAGACTGCTCTCTGCATCTAACCTGCTTAAAGATTATTAGATAAGGTGTACATCACCTTGAAGATCTTCCAATTCGGCAATTAAAATTCTATGTACAACTTTTACTTATATTAGCGTTGAATTGGCTGAGAGCTGTGTCAATTCAGTTCACAAAAACACTGAACATGGAATGTGCCTGGAACCCGTGCTGCGATATACCGGCTTCAGTGACAAAAACTGGACTGTTACGAAACTGTTCTATGGGGTGTTTTTGTCAGGGTTTTGTTTTGTTTAAAGAAAATCAAAAGATGCAGAGAAAGAACAAGCATACAGACATTTAGAGACATAAGCCTTTTTACACCTGATACTATACAAATGAATGAGAAACCTTATGGTACAGGAAGTCATACAGTCAACAAAGTCTTCTGTTACCATTGTTGATAAGACTGTAGCTACCTGTTGTTCTAAGCAGGTTAATACAACAGTAGGTTGCCAAGTGTTCAAACAGTCATTTGGAAAAATATCTGCAGAAAACAAGTGGTTAAATAACCAAGAAGCCAAAGTTGTAGAGGATTTGTAGGATACAATTACTTGGCTGTTTTGAAAATGTTTAAGCTCAGTGAAAGCCAGGCAGAACTAAAGACCTTGTTGGGTCAACACCATGGAGTCCAACATCAACAACACATAATCTAGCATCGACTCTTACGAAAGCTTGAGAAGCAAGTATTACCATAGCATATTTGGTTACTGCAGTAAGGATATTCAGAAGAACTCCATTGTCCTTCAGTCATTAAAACAAAAATGCTGTATTTAAAAATGTTTCGTTTTATAAATGATTCAGTCTCTCAAGGTCACTCTCTACAGTAGACATCACCAGAAACTGAACATAAGACCATTTTTCACTTTATGCTGAGCATGAATTCTTCTGTAAAAATACTGAGCGTGCACCTAATAACAAGAAATTATCTCTTAATTAAACATGCAAAAGCCCTTAACTTCTATTATCTTAAATTTCTAGCTCAGTAATTTTTAATGACCGTGTCAAATAAATTAAAAAAAAAATTTAGCATACATCCTTTTAAGTTGAAGTGGTTGGATAAAAAGATAGCAATTGGAACATGTTGTATATGCCCCAACTGAGAAGTATACAACATTCCTTAAAATACAGAGCTGGAAGAAAAGCTGTATACTTACTAATCAACCGACACTCCATTTTCTTTCTCTGTTTTAACTCTGACTTTTCCATTACATAAGCATCTACATCTTACGAACAGGAATTATTCCAGCTAAAAAGTCTGGCTAAAAACGTGTATAGATTTCCTCAGGGTCACCATGCACTAATCATAAATAACTCAGCTTTTGCACAAGTAAAAAGTTGCAATTCTTGGGCAAACAAACAACTGAGAATGTCACAGCTTGACATAAGAAACACTGTCACCGATATTAGGGAACACAAGCAGACAGACTTTATTTAGGCTGTAGCTATATTCGTGGTTATCTCATCTGTGACCATCCTATCTATAGATTAAAAGGAGAACAGATAACCTGTTCTGCTTAACCTACTGCCCGCTTTGAGTTAAGATTGCCTCCAGCTATGGGACTTGTTTCAGGAGACTGAAATTGTCCTGCAGAGGGGCTTCAGCCAAATTCCTCGGGTTCCTTCTGGAATGATTTCCCCTCCAAACTGGAAACGGTAAAAATAAAAACCCAAACCATGAAACAAAACAAAAAACAGCATCTGGTGAAAGTAATTGTAACGAAAATCTGCTGCAAAGCCACACTAGAAATTACATTGACCACCTCTCTAGTATGGTCTTTCCCACATCAACTTTCCAAATAGTATTTTACAACTTGACATTACACAAGATACGTTTGTCTGAGAAACAAATGTAATATCTCCAAATGATGGGCTTTTTATTTATCTATTACTATATATTTACTATTATGGCTTTTTATTTACTTATTTGACACTGTTGATGAAAACTATTGACAAACAAGAGCTTTCACTTTTTTTTTTACGCGATACCTGGCTAGCTTTTCCTGTCTCCACTGCTGCATTCATCATGCAGCTGTCACACAGTGCAGGTTACCAGCGTAAAAGGTCACAGACTTCAGCAGCTCCCTCTCCCACTATTTTACGTGAAGGACTGGACACAGACTGGAACCATTACCTGAACACCTAGGGGTCTCGGGGCAGATGTTTCAGCCATATCCTCCCATACGTTTCCAGCTATTTGCAAAACCCAGCTTCAATCCTGGTTGCTTTACCCTTTCCACTTCTGAAGCCATCAAATTGTTTCTTCTAGTAGCCTTCTCTCAGCCAAAGAGAAAAGGGCATACACCACCAAACCCCTGCTGCCTTTGCAATGAGAGTTGGCCACCCAGGTACAGGGGAAAGGCCTCCATTTCAATCAGATGTAAAAAACTGTAACATTTGTAACCGGTGCTTATAGTCCTGAAGAAAGGGCTACTTTGGTACGTAGAAATAAATCACTTGCCTTCTCACCCAGCATCTTCACTGTGTGTTGCCAGGGTCATCTGTATGAAGCTTAAACAATCCAGTCCTATCCCTGAGCAAATCCTGCTTCACTGAAGAAGCATCAATAATTCACATGCCAAGACAACAGGATGATCTGAAATTTCCTTTTCTCAGGATTTCCTCCCACCCTCTGCACCCCGGGGAAGAAAGAGTCAGCTGGCATGCAGCCACCCTATGCAGCAAGCTTGACCTATCCTACTGAGCCTTCTCCTGTCACCTACAGCAACGCCTTTTGTGGTTCTCTGACTCAGAATATCCAAAAGCAAACAGCTAACACATTTGATCTTCCCCTCATTCCCACAGTAAAAGGCTGATGTTAGGATTTCTGTGAAAATTCATAGCTGATGACTGAAGACTCTTGGACTACAATATCACATTCAGGGCTTGCTACTACTCTGACATGATTCACCTTTAACAGATACCTTCAATGCACGAAGCAACTATGTCCTTCAACAAAGTCAAAAGTAGCTGTAAACCAAAGCTCAGCAGTGTAAGTATTCTTCAATGGGCTCCACACTACTCCCAGCATCAGCTCTCAAATTCTGCCCATCTCAGACACAGTGACCTGGGGTCTCCTGCAGGACCTCTGCCTGTTCTGTCCTTGGAATCACTCCATTTCCCATAGATCAGAAACATCCAACAAATGTGAAGGAAAGTAGTGCAAAACTTAATGAGATGGGATAATGTTAACTGGAGACAGCAGAAAGGTGGAAAAACCCTTAAGGATTCCAAAGAAAAAGATTTTTAAGAGATTACCCAAACCATACCTGGCTTTTTTTTTTTGAATCTTCTGAGAAGTCTTTGTTTTCTTTGATTTGTTGTACATCACTACCCTTTTTTGTAAGCTCATCTAGCCTTTCTTCACATTGTTCTTTCAATTCTTTCATCTGGTTGATGCACTGTGACCTGGAGGAAACATGAACAAATGAGCAGTTGTTAATCTTCGTCCACACTCTTCTAGAATGTGCTTTTGTAAAATGAATTCTTAATTTTTTTTTCTTTTCATTTTGTTATCTTCTTAGTTCTACTATCTGTGCTTACATTTGAGAAGTCAGCAGTTTTTTTTAAGGACAAACTCGTGGTGCAGGCAGTCCAAGTCCTACTGGAAGAAGTAATTTAAACTGTTTTTGTTAGACCAGCTTAACAAGGTACATGAATTTTCTTGTCTTCCACTAACCAGTCAGTTTCAGTTAAGTCAAAATCAATTTTCACCCTTGAAGCATTTCTAGTATAACAGACAAGCATATTTGTTTACGCGTGCACTCACAGTCTTACACTTCTTGGGGCTGCAAATACGAAACTAATCATCAGACTTTTTACAGGTAGCAAAATTCCCAAAGAAGCTGCGGCATAACAAAACATAACAAAGTAGCTACATAACAAAGCTCCTAGGAATCAAAGCGCATCAGTCCAGAGGCTTCTGTTTCCCTCTGGTCGCTGCACAGGGAGAAGGGTCAGTGGTGCCCATCAGCTGAACGAGCTCTACTGCAAGCAGACAGCACTGGGCACAGAGTGCACCACCAAGGGGATCTCAGGAAGTCGGCTGCTGAGGAATGAACATGCACTCCTTTTGCACACAATACCAGTAAGCTCAACACAACTCCTGTTGACTTCCGCATGGAAAACACTAAGCTTCCTCCGAAAAGAAAAAAAAAAAAGGTAAGATGAAACTTCAAGACTTGTGCATGAGAAAAAACAATGATTTTTGTGCCTTCTAAGTTAAAAAGTTTTGGTTTTAGGTATTCCACACAAACAATCAATTTTTATCACTGTCTTCGACTGTGCAAGATCCCATTGTTTAGAAACAGTGATTTACAATGTGTGCAGTTAAAAAAAGGCATTGGACTTCTGTCATCTTTTTGTCACATTTTCAATTATACAATAATACTCTTTCTTCATTCTTCCACTGGGCAAAGTGTACTTGACACATAAGGTGCGAAACCTTCATCAGAGGCAGAAACAGTGGTGTAGCACAAAAGCCGGTCTAACACCCCCTCCTGCCAAGGCCTACTAAAGATGAACAGAGGCAACATGTTGGTTTACTCCTAACATTGAGGGGAGGAAGGCAGACAGATTAAAACATTTTGAGTCTTTCTAATAACATTTGTTTTTCTAGGTCCATAATCACATTAGAAAAGGGTTGTTCATAAGCATTTAAAATGACAGCATTTAGTAAGAGCAATGTATGTTTCTACAGCTACCAGAATGCAACGCATAGTAACGTAACTTACTACAACAGTCAAATATTAATGTTCTGACGTCCCCCCTAAAGGTACACAACCAGCAACATTTAAAAATACATTTATATATGTTCTGATAGAATTGTGTGAATGCTACAGGGTGCCCAAGCTGTAAATGATTCCATGAAAACTTGAGCTCCAAGTTTGTTTTCTGCACATGCATAGCTCCAAAAAATTTCAGAAATAGAAAATGAATGCTTATCCGGCAAAGCTAGTAAAGACAGCACAGCTCCTTGACTGAGATAACTGCTTTTATGGACTCCCATGGAGAAACTGCAGGAAAATAGTGCACCTACCTCAAGTTCAGCTAGCACATGGCTGAATTATCATGCCTGTCTCTACACCTACCCTGACACAAGCAAACCCATCTTCACCACTGTAACTTGTTTAGCTCTTCACCTTGAGGCAGCCTTGACCCTGGAGCTGCACGCTCCGGATCCAACCTTCTTCTGTTAAACAAAGAGGGATTCTTCACAGTACACTCCCACCAGCCAGGATGCTCTGCCGGTGATTTCCTCAACTGAGCTGTACTTGAAAACATTGAAAACATTTCGCCAGGCATGGGCAACAAACCTGAGTTTTCAGAAACCAGATTCACTACATTTGCTGTGTATCACTTCCCTGCACATGTATATCATTCCAGTGCTTCAAGGATGTACCTCTCATGTAGAGCATGACTGTACAGCACATCCACCCGCCTACAGATCCATTTATTCTTTCTTGTTCTCAGCCTTACAAGGAAGATGCTGGCAAACAGATACTATAACTAGCCAAGAATTATCAACCGAGGTCCAGGAGTCACAGCTGTCATTTAACTAAACAGCAAAGGGATGATGCTTAACATCCGTAGTACACAACAAAACTTAGAGGGAAAATGTACCTTACAAGCACGTAAGTGAAACGTGGCTTAATAAAAGGTTGGTACAAACTTAAGTCCCCAACTTTCTTCTACTTTCCTGTTAAAAGTCCCAAATTATTAGAACTCCACTAGTACAATCCAACTGGGTCATCATTATGAAATGACCAATAATGCCCCCAAAAGACTACACAACCAACTGGTATTCAGCAAGTATCCCAAAAGCACTAGGGGGACGACGGACGACGGACGGAAGCAGGGAAGTATTTCAAGTTTGGCCTGCAGAATTCAAGTTCTTTAATTACCATGTTGAGCTTTTAGTCATAATTCCTACAAAATCTGGCTAAACAGTGGCTGATGGAAAAATACTTTTCACTACAGCAGTATTATTATTGATAGAAAATCATTATGAGAACCAGCAAATGGCAAATTCTGTTGGTTTTCTATATCTATGCAGCAGAGGGAAGATACAATAAAATGTGAAGACAGGCAGAGAAAACAAGAATGCTATTGAAGAGAAAGAACCCAGAAGAAATTCCTAGAAATACACTAAATACACATTTCTGGTAATGATACTGCTAAGCACTTGTGTTCAGTTATCCATCCCTTACAATTCAGAGGGAAATCTCAAAAAAACCCCATGATTAGGTATGAACTGTAATGCAGAATGTATGGCTCTGACCATAACTGTACCAGAAATTCTCTGAGACCTCTGGCAGCACAATGAGCTACAGCTTCTCTTCGGGTATTCCCATATCTTAGTTCTTAAACTTCTTCAGAGTTTAGCCTCTTTGTGTTTCAATTTTCCCCCCAACTCTTAAGTGAGAATACTGCTACCTTTCATCTTCTGCAAGGGAAGGAACATCAAGAAGTGTGGGAGAAGTCTGTGGGTACTGAGATGCCGAGCATTGCAAGGTCTATGCTCTTCCCCAAGACCAACTGTAAGCAATTTTAGAAGATGCATCAGGTGTCACTTTCTCCTTAAAACTGTACATTTACTAACAGTGCTACAGCTATCACAAGAATAATCTGGGTTACAACCAAGACACCTACAACTCCCAAAGCCATCTTTTAGAAAGAACATACTTACAGGTCATATGAAAACTTCCTCTGAAGGTTAGTCTGGTTCTTCTGAAACCAGTAAACATCCAGCTGTAGCTTTCCATATTCTGTCTGTAACTCTTTCAAGTGTTCTGACCAAAACAGGATTAAAATATATATTAAAATATACACAAACATATATACCTACACATATTACAATAAAAGTATCAAACACCAGATCGACAGTAAGCATGCTAACTCCATCCATCATGCTCACTAAATTTTGTATACAAATGCATAGAGAATTGTTGAATTCCTTCATCAAAGATGCACAGGATTGCGTAAGAATAGCCTTTCAGCCTAACACGTTAACAAAAACAGCGTAACAGATTTCCAACCTCCTTTTCTTCACAAGGAATACTCTGTTTGCAAACCCTTGCTCTGCTAGGCTTCAGCCCAGGAAATCTTTAGGTCTACAAAATGCTACTCAGAACATACGATGAAATGGCATTCATGTTTATGAGCCATGTAAAGACAAGATTACAACGCTCCTCCAAATAATATGCAATTTCCAGTTATGTTCCTCAAAACCAGAGGCATCTATGATTTAGCTTTTTCTTCCCAGTAGAAAGCTCTGTGTGAGGGCACCAGAAGAAAGCACCACAACATATTTACCTGTTTACAGAACTTAGGATCCATTCCCCAGATTTCCTGAGGAATAAACTACTAAGAACAATTTTGAAGCACCAACACGAATAGAAATGAATTAGACCGAGTTTTCTTATTTAATACAGGAGTTTGTAAATTCTCCTCATGCTAAAACGTGACCCAAACCACTCAAGGAGAAATGCAAGAATACGTTGCAAAAGGTAAAATAAGAAGAATAAATATAATAACAATTCACACAGAAAACAGTTTTATCCATATTATTTTATATCGTAAGGGTCAGGAGTCCTACATCAAGTGCAACATGGACAAATCTCCTTTTATCATTGGGGCAGATTAGTCTGACATTTTGCTGAACTGGAACTACGCAGATTCCCATGACTAGAAGAAAGGCAGCATTCTCAGAAATCACCAGAAAAACGCAAGTCTTAAAAACAGGGGTCTTGATGACCAGTATGAGAGAGAAACAGAGGGGTATTGCGACATACCTCGTAGATTCTGGACCAGTCGTTCATTTACTGTGATGTTACTCATCAGCACTGCCTGGAAGGACCAAAACAGAAAACAATGTTTTAATTGCAAAGGACCGTTAACATTATAAACGACACCAACCACATTACTTGTTACAAGATCTTTTCTTTGTGAAGTGCTGGGTTACAGCCAAACGCAAAAACTTTTAGCTGCTCTAGAGATTTACTATTACAAACAACAAACACTCGTTTTAGCCCAGATTTCCCAGTAAACGGGGGGGCAGGGGAGAAGATGTCACTGCGCTTAAATAAGAAGAGGAGGAATATAAGGCGTGCGCTACTAAAACTGCCTGCTGCTTTATTCTGGCTTAATGTCACAATTGCAGTCACAGTCAGATTTACTGTATTTATCCCTTGAAGAAAGAGTACAGCATAGCATAGCTTGCTATTAACCACCCTCTCACCAGCGAATCAATACACCTGCATTCAGGCATGCAAGGATGAGCTATGAAAGCATTAGTCATAAAGCATAAAGGAACACTACAAATGCAACGTGAAACCCTTGCGTTGTACCACTGTTCTAACTAACCACTCCCTCACTTTGATAGGAAAGTGATGGAGTGACCTTCTGCCATTCCCTTACTTTGCCCTCTCTCTCATTCTGAAGAGGGAGTCAACATAAGAAAATGTTTTGTCTGTTCCTTCACCAATCCCCCTCTACTAACCCATATATACACATGCCCCAAAACACCTGAATATTGACAGAACTAAGGCAAGTCTAAAGGAAATTAATTCCTCTGAGCCAGATGAACTCAGATTCATATTTAACATTTAGAAAGTCTGGTGCAGAAGAGTCTTCTTAAGACTACAAAAAGATGAGATCCTTCAGAAACAATCTAGTCCAGTCTTAGGAGCTTATGTTTCATGCTTCAGTTCGCATTTCCTCGTTATCCTTCTCCCAGGAGATCCCACTGTTCTGCAGGGGTCCCAGATCAGGATACATCCAGTTTCCTAAGTTTCTGCTCAAGTACTGATGTGTTCATAAGTCCACACCACTTTAATGCAAAGAGGTAACTGCATCCATTCTGTTTGCCCGAGTCACCCTGACAACACTGTCAGTGCCTTTTTTCACAAAGACTACAGTAATAAGCGCCACTTGATTAGGGAAAGCAATGGGTTCAATCAGTCTGAGTGGGATAGCACATATAGGAGTAGATTTGTCTTTTGTTGACCGCTTAAAGAGTCACAGTTCAAAGAGGCAGCTGTTTTCGACCCAATTAAAGAAATATTCCTACACCATTCTACACATATATCCGGTCCGCAAACACCACTGTGAAACCTCAAGAGCAAAGGCCTTGCTCCTTCATTAAAAAGGAAAAGAATAATAATAACAACATGATTAACATACACATAGGACTGTTTAATACCTCTCCCTCTCCTTTCTCATAGGACAGTGAAAAAAAGGGTCTGGACTTGTTTTTTTGTTTTCACTTGTTTATTGGGGAAAGGAAGTTAATGATTTGATGGAAACGCTAAGTTTTGCTAATGCACAAGCAACATAACCAAGTTGTTCCATTATTATCACCTTCATATAAACACAGAATCATAGAATGGTTTAGGTTGGAAAGGACCTTAAAGATCATCTAGTTCCAACCCCCCTGCCATAGGCAGGGACACCTCCCACTAGACCAGGTTGCTCAAAGGCCCATCCAGCCTGGCCTTGAAGACCTCCATGGATGGGGCACCTGCAACTTCTCTGGGCAACCTGTGCCAGTGCCTCACCACCCTCAGAGTGAAAAATTTCATCCTGATCTCTAATCCAAATCTATCCTCCTTTAGTTTGAAGCCATTACCCCTTGTCCTATCACGACATGCCCTTGCAAAAAGTCTCTCTCCAGCTTTCCTGTAGGCCCCCTTTAGGTATTGCAACGCTACTTGGACTCTTCTCTTCTCCAGGCTGAACAACCCCAACTCTCTCAGCCTGTTCTCATAGGAGAGGTGCTCCAGCCCTCCTATCATCTTTGTGGCCCTCCTCTGGACCCACTCCAACAGGTCCATGTCCTCATGCTGAGGACTCCAAAGATGGACGCAGTACTCCAGGTGTAGTTCCATGAGAGCGGAGTAGAGGGGTAGAATCACCTCCCTCGACCTGCTGGCCATGTTTCTTTTGATGCAGCCCAGGATATGGTTGGCTTTCTGGGCTGCGAGTGCACATTGCCGGCTCACATTGAGTTTCTCATCAACCAACACGCCCAGGTCCTTCTCCTCAGGGCCGCTCTCAATCCATTCCCCACCCATCCTGTATTTGTGCTTGGGATTTCCCCGACCCACATGCAGGACCTTGCACTTGGACTTGTTGAACTTCATGAGGTTTGCACAGGCCCACCTCTCCAGCCTGTCCAGGTCCCTCTGGATGGCATCCCTTCCCTCCAGCGTGTTGACCACACCACACAGCTTGGTGTTTGTGGCAAACTTGCTGAGGGTGCACTCAATCCTACTGCCCATGTCACCAACAAAGGTGTTAAACAGCACTGGTCCCTGTACCGACCCCTGAGGAACACCACTCGTCACTGGTTTTCACCTCCAGGTTTTCCAGCATTTGCCATTACCAGAAACTGTTAATGGACTAGAAAAATCTGCATGACATAGCAACTTTGTGTTCCTACAGTTTGTTTTGTTGTTGTGTGTTGTTTTCTTCTTAAAATGAAACTGCCAAATACCAAGACCACTTATTTGACAGTGAAACAGACAGTTGTTAAATGTTTTGTACATTAGGACAATAATAACTGTGACTAGCTGAAGTGAATAAAATGATCTGCCATGTGAAAACGGCTCCTTAAATCACAACAGGGGGGAAAAAAAAAAAAAAGAAGGGGTCCCTTGGTCTTTCTGGATTGTATATAAAACTTCCTTTTGGCAATGCCACACCTACGTCCCTGAATTTGTGAGTAAGAAGCCAGGAAAAAATACTGAAAATCTAGTTAGCTAGTCAACTTGAGCAGGAAATAATTTGTAATAATTCACAGTGCAGTGTTCCAACTGCCAGCTTCCAATATGACTCTATCAATAACACCAGGTTTTCCATTCTCCCTCCTGTCACCCAAGTGTTAACTAGTCTTCACCTCATGGCTGCGAATTAGGCAGACATTATTTTCTTCTGGGGTTTTATGCAGGTGAAGACAGCAAACTGTTGGGAAGTACTCAGCAAACACATGCCAAAACCGAGTTCTAGGAAGAAACTCACATTTTAAATCTCCTTCAGCCCCAAAACCAATACCTATGATCCCTAGGAGCGAGAATCCAGCTTTTGGAAACTCACTGCATCACCACATCAAAATCTGATCTTCCGTGAGAGAGTAACTCTGTTACACAGAACGAGCTGGTTATTTTTGCAAACATTTCTTGCACAGAAGTTGCTGTGACTATCAGAGAAAAAGCCAGTCTCCCGATCAGAGTCAAAGCTGGGAATAGCAGGTCTTCAGAAATCAAAAATCAAAAGCCACACTGCTACCAGCAGTGATGGAAAAACGTTGCTCCAGCTGGAGAGCAGATTTTTTAATGACAACTGACAGAGATGTACTTTTTTTTTTTATTCACCACAGAATATGTCTACACAAGTCATACTCCACTTAAGAAACACAAAATTTAAAGTTATTGTTTAAAAAAAACCCAAAACATACCTGCAAGGAAGCTTTGAGATAACTTATTTCAAAGCCTATGTTTTGAGCACGTATTCTGAACTATGTATGTGCATTTGATCTGATTAATGCCTTACACAGTAGCCTCCATAAACCTATTCCTTGGAGGCATTACTACAATAAACTCCTTCAGCATTTCCTACTGTCATAAATCAGGCTAACCCAAGCACACTGAACTGACATACGCTCCTTCTAACACTGACTGCACGTGATGTCTATAAAAGCATAATGAGACATTGCAAAAGGAAAAAGGAATAAAACAGCAAAGAACCTGATGAGAGTATACACTGGTTTCAGAACTAAAACCTAAGAAAAAAAGGGACTTTGCATTTGCAAATACAGCTCGCAAAAGGAGAAAAAGATGATCCACAGCATCAGTAAATCAGCTGCTAAGACGAAAACCAACTGGAAACAAAGGAAGCTGGGAGGGTAAGATTTATACATGCAGAATCCAGCAGAAAAAAGCATTTATAATTAATGAGGGAGAAGGGGGGCACCGATTTCATGATTAACTCAAACTGATCAAAGTCCTTACTGCAAAGAAAAGGAGCAGTTCTGCCTTGCATACTCCTACTGCTCCCCACCATCACACTGGCAGTGCAGCACAAGACACACTTTGATTATCTGTTGTTCATTTCTTAGTTGTATCTGGAAATTCCCACCCTGCTTCTCTATTTTTGCAAACACACATACCCACACACACACTTTCCCAGTAACGTGCGTTGTCAATTCTTTTCTTTCTTTGTACTCTTCTTCTTTACCACTTTGAAGTAATCTTCAGGAGTAAAGAGACCATTTATACTAGTCACCAAAAGGCTTTTTCATTCTAGAACATGAGATTCATGGCTAACTATATAATAGTAAGTGGGGAAAAAGTTCAGAAGTAAGATCCCTTAGAAAATACTTCTCTTTTAGGTTGGTCTGTGGGCTGCACACTCATGCATACTTCAGTGGAGAAGCTTCAATTCAAGCAACCCTAAAATAAATTTCAAGCCCATAATGCAGGAGACATTGTTCATTTAAACCTATCTCTCACTGAACTGAATTCCATTCAGAAATTACAGGCTTTTCCCCATCCTCAATAAAGAGGAAAAAAAAAAACAACCAGCCAAACAAACAAACAAAAAAACCCCACCTCAAAACAAAACCACAGCTCTATTCCTAAAAAGTGATCCAGGGAAAGATGAGGGACACAATCTTGGTTCACATCCTCTGCTATAAGCAATCTAGACTCTCTTTTTTCATGATGAAGGACCTGTGCACTATGGCATGCACCTCAAAACTAAAGAAACCACCAAAATCATAAAGTTAACCATTTCTTACACTCTCAGCGAGAGAGAGAGGAAGTTGACACATATGAATAAGAAGTTACTTT